TGCCAGTGCCACGTATTATGAAAGTTTTCAATGGGGTTATAGACCCCACGTGGAGATGTCTTTCAACTTCCATGCAGTTCTATTCTCTCCTCAAAAATTTTTTTCATTGACTTGAATATTCTTTCATCTGGTGAATCATAGCCCAACCCCGATGAAAGAAAACCGAAAGGCGATAGTAATATTCATCATTTACTCATACTTACTTCCAGTAGTTATGCTATTTTTTCTGAACATTATTTATCAACTGTTTGCGAATGATTCTTCCTCAAATATTACATCGTTTTTTGGCTCACCATCGCAAAGTCTCAAAAATAAGCCTTTCAATAAATGAGCACGAATGATGAAATGCAATGAAGTGCCATTTTCAGAAAGTTTGAGACTGATGCTAGCGACCAAAATCACAGCAAAGACCTCTTGTGCAAAGTTTGGCCTCCCCATAGCAACGGCCCAAGAAGAATATTAACATTTCATGACTCTGTAAGAGAACAGAAAAAGAAAAACAATATACATATGCGCGAAAAACACATAAGCCGTAAGAAATCACGAATAACAAAAACACCAGCAAGACTTCCCCAGGAAAAGGACTCACCAAGTGAAGGATATTTTGCTGGAAGATCAAGTTCACGATGTAAATCTTCGTACGACATACCATTCTCTGTTGGAATCTTCTCCGAGGACATCAAAAACCGTGAGAGACAGTCCCTGAAAGCAGAACTCTATGCCATTAACTTTAGAAAAGCAAAACTCTTTTCAAACCATATAGAAAACCTTTCAACGAAAACAAAAGAGGTGCTGCATCTGAAGTCAAAATATTGATGCTTGTTTATTTGCATTTTCTGTAGAAACACAAAAAAGTTGGCAGAGTGGAGCGCTGTCTGATAGTGGAGCACGAAATTACAGCGCTGTCTTCTGACGCCCGCTACGTGAACCCGACTGACTCATTCTTCGCCACGAAGCTCCATTCCCCTTGTCCTAACATGTCCATTTTACGGTGCACATTCAAAACTTTCTTCTATTTACTGTGAACAACGGAAGAAAGGAGTACGACTGGATATTCAATCGATGGCATTTCCTTTTCTAGATGG